TATTGATCTTTTGCCTTCAAGCAGGTATTTCACAAGTTTAGGACATTATTTTGATTGTAGAAACAACTTTTTCAATAAATCAATGTTTCACATATTCAGTCGCCACGCGAAGTTTCGAAGATTGGGAGAGGTGTATGACGAATTATGGTATATAAATGGGGATTTTCAAGAAAATGTTGCGAAAAAATGCGTAAAAAGTAGTGGAAATGTGCACTTGTTGTTGGGGAAGAACTAAAAGCTTATTTTTATGGAAGGAGACTCGTTTAGACGCTCGCTTACATGGAACCTGCAGATATCTTTTAGGGAATAAAAAGCAAAAATTTAATCAAAAAAAAGGTTATAAAAACAACTTCAAATGCGCACAATCTGCGTGTAAAAAGTCTTTACACTAGGAGTGGACCATTTTATTTAATGGGACTTTATTACAGACATTAATTAATAACTTCACTTAACCGTTAATATTAAGGGTTAATGTTTTCCTTTAAAAACTTCATTCATTAAACATTAATTCATTAATATTAAGTCATTAATATTAATGAAAACATTAACATTAATATTAATGAATTAAGGTTTTTCAAGAAAACATTACTCATTAATATTAATGATTAATGAAAACATTAACATTAACATTAATGATTAATGAAAAAAGATTAACATTAATATTAATGTTAACGTTTTCATTAATCATTAACATTAATGAATTAAGTTTTTAAAGGAAAACATTAGCCATTAATATTAATGATTAATGAAAAACATTAACATTAATATTTATGTTAATGAAAAATATTAACATTAATTTAAGATTAATGTTAATGGCCCACCCCTAGTCAAAGGTCAACTGCAAAGGGGAACTACTCAGACATTCCAATCCATTCCTAGCCATTCCGATCCATTCCAATCCATTCCAATCCATTCCAATCCATTCCGATCCATTCCAATCCATTCCGATTCATTCCAATCCATTCCAAACCATTCCGATCCACTCCGAGCCATTCGAATGGCTCGGAATGAGCTTTTCCCCCCTTGCCCACACCCCTCGCATGAATGGCATATAGAGTAATTCTCAGTAAATCGAGCTCCTATTCATACTCGCCAAGATTATGCATAAAATTCTAATTAAATTAAAGTGATAAGTATTATTTATTACGCTGAATTTCGATAATATTTTTAAACATAATCTTATGGCTTCTGAT